AAGCAAATTAGCAACCCCAGCCAGAACCAGTGCATTCACAGTAGAGAGTGAGTTTCTTCCCTGCTTCCACACAACAACAGCTAAAGGGTTAAACCACCCTTTTCTTCGACACACTTGTTCCCAGCTGGAAGCCCAAGGATTCAAGGTAACACACAGACCTGAGTCAGTAGTGCTTTTTTGCCTGCTGCACAGTTAAGAAGCATCTGTCTAACTCTGGTTAGTAGAGCCTGTGATCTGAGCACTTCCATAATCCAGGAGATTATCATTTAAACAGAAAATTGAAATCTTTCCAAACAGTATTTTGTTCAAGATGTGTGGTTTGCTTCAACTGGAAATGTAATAAAGTGGTTTAATCCATGCACTGGTACTAGACTCGTCCATCTGTTGCGCTGTGTCCTGTTGGGGTTCTCTGCTAGAATCCATCTATGTGACAAACCTTGCGAGAGACTGGAGAATAACAAATCAGTCATCATTTTATGTTTGTGCCTGAAACCTGATTTCTGACATGCAAACTGTAAAATGGAGTTGTTGGAAAGTCCTGGAGTCCTCTGTGTCTCTCCAGCCAACAGGACAGTGTCAGTGTATTTATAAACACTGGTGACAGAGTTACAGTTCAGGGGAAAACTTAAAAGTCTGCTTTCAATATTGTCCCTCTCTCAGTCCCTGTCACTAAGGCAGTGTTTCTGTGAAGCCACAAATCATAAAATCTCTAAGGTTGGAAAAGACCTTTAAGGTAATCAAATGCAGCTGTCAAATGTCAGCTTGCTCTAGCTCCTAGCTTCCAGTTAAATAGGCTTGCATTGATGAGTGTTGGGATTTTTGATGTGCTGATTTTTTTTTAGAGTGTTTGTTCTCCCTGATCTGAACAAGTGAGTCCATCTGGTGCTTGGGGGAGAAGCTGACAGGAATGCACCTTATCTGCCACAGGAGGGAGTGAGCAGTTTGCATTTAGCTGGATTTTCACACTTTGAGAAAGCCTATAGCTAGTCATTGCTAATTTCCAGATTCTCTGGTAAATGCAAATTGCAACAAAAACTCAAATCTTTTTTTTTGTTTTGTGAGTCCCCGTCACCATCCAACAGACACTGTTTGAGTGAGGCTCAAAGTATTGAAAAGGTGATCATATAAACTGTTATGAGAAGAAAAACAACTTTTGGATGCTGAGATGGGTTTATTTGGAGTTTACTGCATTTCCATTTCAATCTTATTGCCCTTTCCCCCTTTCAAGATTGCTTGTAGGATCCGAATGGTCGCAGTTCTCAATGTGAATATGAGATGTGATCCCAGGAAATACTCTTTGCATGGGCAACATTCTCCCAAGGACTTGTCCCTTGGAAATTGCACCATTGTATCTTATGGGATGGATACAGAGTAGTTTTACACAGAATCCTGGTGAGAAAACAAAGGGAGGGAAAACAATCAATGGCTGATGAAGCATTTGTTCTTCTGTACTAAATTTCAGAAATATTGACAATGTCTGTCTTGTCCTTTCCACTGAGATAGCAATAGTGGAAATACCAGAATAGCAGAAATACTGTGGTCATAAAAATTACATAGTGGTTGGAGTCATTGACTTGGTAAAAGAGGGAAGATGGAAGCAAGGAGAAGGTGAGAATTTGTACTGTAGGAAAGGGAGAAGCTTGAACTCAGTTATTTGCATTGTAGCAGGAGCAAAAAGTTCTGTATGCAAGTGGATAGAAGGAAACATGGCTAAACTACTTGGCTAACTGCTAGGTAATGTATCCTATATGAGCTCAAGACAAAGAAATGTTAAATTAGTGACAGCTGTTTACCTGATCCCCTGATTTCGACTCCATCATCAATGGCATTTCCATTGTGGAAGAATTTAACAGGCCCAGAGAGCTGGCCAGAGAAGGGAGCGTACACAGTCGCCCCATCAGCACAGATGACATCCACTGCCCGGTGCTTCCCTTTGCCATTGCGTCTGAAAACAAACATCATTACAGAAATCTCTGGTCAGGCCCAGTGCTACAGAGAGAGGTTAAGCAGCACATGGTGAGATCTGGAAATGGGTTGTTAGGGCAGAAATAGCGTCAGCAAACTGGCTGAAGGATCTGCAAAGATGTAGGTGAGGTAATGTCATGTAGATATGGTTAGAGTTGGAGAAAAATGCCTTTCTTCCAGATCTTTAAATAAAACCATAGAGTCACAGAAAGTTTAGTTGTGTCAAGGACATCAAGTCCAACCTTCCACTTCAATCAGGATTGTTCCCAACACTAGGTCAGGTCAGGCATGGCTTAGTCTGATAAAAAGCTCCAAGCAGAGAGGTGTTACGAACAATGTGGGCAGCCTAAAATTTTCCTCTAATCGAATCTAAGTCTTCAAAGCTGTAATTTTTATGTGACCTAAACAAAGTTTAACTTTTACTTCAGTGGAAGTACAACAAAACCCAGTGTGTTCCAATTATTATATTACCTTGGAGCTCCATAGTATCCACAGCCATACTTATCACAGCCTCTGATCTCGTTGGTAGGGTTCCCAGAACACACTGCAGCCCAGCGCCCGTCCTGTTGTGGTGATGGTGGAACAGCTTTGAAATACAGGAACACAGCACATCAAAGTTAACTTCTAGATTGTTTTAACACTTGCATGTTTGAAAATACTAGCTTTGATTTACAGTAGGTAAGAACATACTGACATTACATCCCATGCTTGTAGTTAGATTTTTCTCCATAAAATTTTTATCCTTTAGGTAATGAAAATTGAATGTAGACCTAAGCTGGATGGTAATGTTTCTAGATTAGGGTTATTTCATAGAAGAAACACGCTTTAAATACAAAAATTTAAAAAGAGTATCAGAGGTCTTAGAGTACAAATCTACTTTTGTTCTGAGTTGTGTTTTCTGTTGTTAAGGGTTTTTTACCAGGCGTAAGCAGATGAGTAGGATCAGAGTGGTCACAGTTCTCAACGTGGATATGAGAAATAATGCCAGGATATACTTTTTGCATTGGCAGCATTTTCCCGAGTTGTTGCCCTCTGCGGATTTGGCCGTGGTACCGGAAGGGGTGAATGCAGACCAGCTTCACACAGAAACCTGGAGAGAGACAGGAGAGGAAGCGAGGTCAGGAAACATCAGCTGCATCTGCTCCTGGGGTCAGCAAGAAGCATTCCCTGCCAGCTTCTTACTGGAGACTGTGAGGATGACGCAGAAATGTAGTCAAGGTACCAATAATGGTGAAATCAAAATTACTATATTTGCCAGGGCAAAAAGGAAAAAAGGGAGTTGGAAAATAGAGACAGGAAAACATCCTCTCAGCAAAACTGAGGATATATTTCCGGTGCTTTATTTTTGCTGTTTCCTATTTTTGATTTGGGGTTGTTATTTTCCTGCTACCTGTTTTACAACTCCTTTCTTCCCTCCTGTCCAAGAAAAGCATAGGAAAGTACTTCATCCTACTCGTGCTGTCATCCAATATTTCAGCATTCTAGAGAGGATGTAGGATTAATCAACACTGTGCTTGAATTGAAGAACCATAGAAACCTGGCTCAAGTAAAATGAAGTGATTACTTGTGCATGCCTCACAGCACACTTGCTGTTAATTACTTACCTGATCCCCTGATTTGGACTCCATCATCAATGGCATTTCCGTTATGGAAGAACCGGATGGGTCCTGAGAGCTGCCCGCTGAAAGGAGCGTACACTGTGGCTCCGTCAGAGCAGATGACGTCCACACCCCCGTGCTTTTCTTTGCCACCGTGCCTGGAGGCAGAAATACATAATTAGGGACATCTCTCAAGGCTAATGTTATGTATCAATTGGTAATTGGTCACTTAATGCAGGATGATAGCTGAAGCTCGTTTAACAAAAATTTTTTACCTGCAATGAAGTTGGACAGAAGTAGCAGGTTTGAAGCATCTTTTGTTTTGTTTTGGTTTTTTTGTTGTTGTTGTTTGTTTGTTTGTTTGTTTTTTGTTTGTTTTTTTTTTTTGTTACAAATTGTTCACATTACTCTGGCCTTCTTTGAGTGGGATGAAAATTCAAATTTAAGCTTATTTTTTATTTTCCCAAGTTAATGGGGTATTTCAGACTATTATAGAAAAGTACCAATTTTTTCCCTCCAAAAAGACACCTGTGCCATGTAAAATAGAATTTTGGCTAGCATTTTCTGACTTAGAAATTTGGAAGATGCATTATGAAGATGGACACTTATAGAGCCTGAGAAGAGGAGAGGAGAAGAAAATGCAGGAGGCATTTTTTCAGAGAAATATAATCTGTTTTTGTATGAGGAACCTACTTAAAGACAATGATGCTGTCAGATTTTTAGTTTGGGTAATTGAATCTACTCAGCTTCCTGTAAGATGTTGCTGAGTGTTAGTTAATTTTCTGGAGTATAAGCAACAAGGGTAAATGACACAAATTCTTGAAATACTTCCATTTCATTTACTCTGTCTGTAATTCATGTAACAGTCCTGCTCCTTCACTCCTGCATCTGTTGTCAGCA